ATGGAGCGAGACATGATGTCCCAGATGTGCTCAATTGGATTCAGGTCTGGGGAACGGGCGGGCCAGTCCATAGCATCAATGCCTTCCTCTTGCAGGAACTGCTGACACACTCCAGCCACATGAGGTCTAGCATTGTCTTGCATTAGGAGGAACCCAGGGCCAACCGCACCAGCATATGGTCTCACAAGGGGTCTGAGGATCTCATCTCGGTACCTAATGGCAGTCAGGCTACCTCTGGCGAGCACATGGAGGGCTGTGCGGCCCCCCAAAGAAATGACACCCCACACCATGACTGACCCACAGCCAAACCGGTCATGCTGGAGGATGTTGCAGGCAGCAGAACGTTCTCCACGGCGTCTCCAGACTCTGTCACGTCTGTCACATGTGCTCAGTGTGAACCTGCTTTCATCTGTGAAGAGCACAGGTGCGCCAGTGGCGAATTTGCCAATCTTGGTGTTCTCTGGCAAATGCCAAACATCCTGCACGGTGTTGGGCTGTAAGCACAATCCCCACCTGTGAACGTCGGGCCCTCATACCACCCTCATGGAGTCTGTTTCTGACCGTTTGAGCAGACACATGCACATTTGTGGCCTGCTGGAGGTCATTTTGCAGGGCTCTGGCAGTGCTCCTCCTGCTCCTCCTTGCACAAAGGCGGAGGTAGCGGTCCTGCTGCTGGGTTGTTGCCCTCCTACGGTCTCCTCCACGTCTCCTGATGTACTGACCTGTCTCCTGGTAGCGCCTCCATGCTCTGGACACTACGCTGACAGACACAGCAAACCTTCTTGCCACAGCTTGCATTGATGTGCCATCCTGGATGAGCTGCACTACCTGAGCCACTTGTGTGGGTTGTAGACTCCGTCTCATGCTACCACTAGAGTGAAAGCACCGTCAGCATTCAAAAGTGACCAAAACATCAGCCAGGAAGCATAGGAACTGAGAAGTGGTCTGTGGTCACCACCTGCAGAACAACTTCTTTATTGGGGGTGTCTTGCTAATTGCCTATAATTTCCACCTGTTGTCTATTCCATTTGCACAACAGCATGTGAAATTTATTGTCAATCAGTGTTGCTTCCTAAGTGGACAGTTTGATTTCACAGAAGTGTGATTGACTTGGAGTTACATTGTGTTGTTTAAGTGTTCCCTTTATTTCTTTGAGCAGTGTATATATATATATGGGGCATATAACAATCTCAGCTCTGTAGATTTTGCTGTGAAGAGACAGAATCACTAGATAATTTATTCTGGAAATGCCCCTATGTAGCTTGTTTCTGGTCACAGGTTCAGGAATGGTTAGAAAATCACAACATTAACTTAAAATTAACCTTACAAATAGCAGTGTTGGGCGATTTGGAAAGCCATAGTCAGTCAATCAACGATATAATAATACTCATAGGAAAGGTTTTCATCTTTAGCTCACAATCTGTGGATACTATGCGATTAGAAAGGTTCAAAATTCATGTTAAACATCACAGCAAAATTGAGAAATATATGGCACATGGAAACCAAAACGAGGGTGGTCTATGGTGATAGGAGGGATGGGCTGAGAGTGGCTGAGGGGTAGAATTAAAGAGCTTATGTTCGGTAATGTATTATTGTTATGTGATTGCTGTATAGAAAAGCAAATGTACATGTACAATTTATGTAAATGTCGCAGAAAAGCTGTAAAAACAAATATTAATATTTTTTTACATATATTTTTTAAAATAATAATAATTTACAACCTGGTATGTCACCAGGAAGGCCAAAACTCCATCCCAACAAAACAGGCTGAGATTTCAGGTGGTCTTTTTAAACAGCTCTTACTCTAAAAGGGCAATATCATAATTTTCACAGCATTATTCCAACCTCATAATGTGGAAATATACATATACAGTGGGGGAAAAAGTATTTAGTCAGCCACCAATTGTGCAAGTTTACCCACTTAAAAAGATGAGAGAGGCCTGTAATTTTCATCATAGGTACACGTCAACTATGACAGACAAAATGAGAAAAAAGAATCCAGAAAATCACATTGTAGGATTTTTAATGAATTTATTTGCAAATTATGGTGGAAAATAAGTATTTGGTCAATAACAAATGTTTCTCAATACTTTGTTATATACCCTTTGTTGGCAATGACACAGGTCAAACGTTTTCTGTAAGTCTTCACAAGGTTTTCACACACTATTGCTGGTATTTTGGCCCATTCCTCCATGCAGATCTCCTCTAGAGCAGTGATGTTTTGGGGCTGTCGCTGGGCAACACAGACTTTCAACTCCCTCCAAAGCTTTTCTATGGGGTTGAGATCTGGAGACTGGCTAGGCCACTCCAGGACCTTGAAATGCTTCTTACGAAGCCACTCCTTTGTTGCCCGGGCGGTGTGTTTGGGATGATTGTCATGCTGAAAGACCCAGCCACGTTTCATCTTCAATGCCCTTGCTGATGGAAGGAGGTTTTCACTCAAAATCTCACGATACATGGCCCCATTCATTCTTTCCTTTACACGGATCAGTCGTCCTGGTCCCTTTGCTGAAAAACAGCCCCAAAGCATAATGTTTCCATCCCCATGCTTCACAGTAGGTATGGTGTTCTTTGGATGCAACTCAGCATTCTTTGTCCTCTAAACACGACGAGTTGAGTTTTTACCAAAAAGTTATATTTTGGTTTCATCTGACCATATGACATTCTCCCAATCCTCTTCTGGATCATCCAAATGCACTCTAGCAAACTTCAGACGGGCCTGGACATGTACTGGCTTAAGCAGGGGGACACGTCTTGCACTGCAGGATTTGAGTCCCTGGCGGCGTAGTGTGTTACTGATGGTAGGCTTTGTTACTTTGGTCCCAGCTCTCTGCAGGTCATTCACTAGGTCCCCCCGTGTGGTTCTGGGATTTTTGCTCACCGTTCTTGTGATCATTTTGACCCCACGGGGTGAGATCTTGCGTGGAGCCCCAGATCGAGGGAGATTATCAGTGGTCTTGTATGTCTTCCATTTCCTAATAATTGCTCCCACAGTTGATTTCTTCAAACCAAGCTGCTTACCTATTGCAGATTCAGTCTTCCCAGCCTGGTGCAGGTCTACAATTTTGTTTTTGGTGTCCTTTGACAGCTCTTTGGTCTTGGCCATTGTGGAGTTTGGAGTGTGACTGTTTGAGGTTGTGGACAGGTGTCTTTTATACTGATAACAAGTTCAAACAGGTGCCATTAATACAGGTAACGAGTGGAGGGCAGAGGAGCCTCTTAAAGAAGAAGTTACAGGTCTGTGAGAGCCAGAAATCTTGCTTGTTTGTAGGTGACCAAATACTTATTTTCCACCATAATTTGCAAATAAATTCATAAAAAATCCTACAATGTGATTTTCTGGAGAAAAGAAATATCAATTTGTCTGTCATATTTGACGTGTACCTATGATGAAAATTACAGGCCTCTCTCATCTTTTTAAGTGGGAGAACTTGCACAATTGGTGGCTGACTAAATACTTTTTTTCCCCACTGTAAAACACAGGAAATCACATTTTTGATTGCACTGGGCCTCAAATAAGTGGTCTCACTGTGTTTCATTTTTCCATTACATTTCCTATCAATACCGTTATGATACAAACTGTAGGCATCACTGTGGTTCTCACACTTCCTGTGGGGCTAACTAATTAACTAACTAACTAACTAACAAGTATAAAAGTGACAATCTAATGAGAAACAAACACACCCACACTCTCCCATCTGGTCAATTTAGTAACAGGAAGTAATTGTTTTTCTCAATCTTTCCCAATCATTTGGGAGTTGAGAACTTATAGATGGATCTTCAGAATACATGTCGGTAGTAGTTGACTGTAATGTTTATCGAGACATTTTGAGGTCTGAGATGTCTGATGAACGCTGTCTTGCCTTTGAAACATAGGGATCTGTTTTGATTGATCAGGAAGTGCCCTCAGTCGAGTACAAAACAAACCAAACTCGCATCCTGACTTTCTCCCACAGGAAAGAAGAACCATAGAAAAAATGTAATAAAACTACCGATAATAAACCCCTATACTACCATCCACTCAACGACGGATAAGTAGAGGAGAAGTCTTTACAGTATGTTATTCAACTTAGATCTCTTAATTGAACTGGCACCATGCACCCTATTTCCACACTCACCCAAAATGAGTAGGCTGGGCCAATTACATTCAGAAATGTAAATGGAGGGAGTATGGTGAGGGGGACGGCACAACCTGAAATACATTTGCAAATAGACCCCCCCCCCCCCCCAGTCTGGTCGAATACCCACACACACCCACACACACACAGGTTCTAGGAGGGTGTATTGATTAAGACTGCAGTGCGACACTGACACTGCTGGTAGTCTTTTTCTATAATGGGAAGCAGGGGGTGGCTGTCATGTTACCCTGCAAGATTAGTTATCCTGCACATCCACACATGCATCCACACACACACATCCACACGCGCGCACACAGGTAGACACACACAGACACTTAATGTACATGCACAAATCCTTACACACACACACACACACACACGCACACACTCACTCACGTACGTACACAAAATTACACGGAGGTCTTAAAAACATAATCCTCTATCCACTTTGTGATTGTTATTTGTGTGTACCAAAGCTTTCCCGCTTGGTATCCAGGCCCAAGTCTTCTGCACTTTTATAAGAAGCTCAAAGGACAACCAGGGTGAAGGGTGGAAGTGCGACCAAAGGTGGCAACCCTGCAGAGAGCGGTATTGCTGCAGTGACCACCAGAAACATTCATTACCTAAAACGATTCACAGCTAATCTTTACCCCCAAATGCCATGAATGAATTATTTCAAGTTATTACTGCTCTCCCAAAGGGATATGTTCTAAAAATCACAAGGCCACACACAGTAATACAGTTATAATGAAGCATCTATATTCCTCATTTACTGTGTTTCTCTTCAATACAGAGTTTCATTTGTGCTAGTCTACTATTCGCCATTTCCTGTGAGGATACGTATTCAGCAAAACAGAATATCATCAGAGGTATAGACAAAGGTCAGTTCTGCAGAGAAGAACAATGCAGCAATTCTATGCACCACCACTCCACTGATCCTGTTATAATTAACTTCATAGGTCCTTACTTTAGCACTGAATCTACCCCAGTCTCTGTTCAGCTAGTACTGTGACTAGGGTGACCACATTTATTATACCCAAATGCGGGACAAAGGGATGATTTTGTGGGACATTTGCGGGACAGTGTAGCATACATGAATACAACAAAAATCCCCCTCCGGCTGCAACGAACTAGCTAATTGAAGCGTGCCTATGGACTACTCTTCTGCTTCGAGCTAAATATGGTCATGCAAAAAACTAGACCAAATGTGTGGCTGTTTTATGAAAATCGGGAAATATTTGGCCAAAGAAACATTTCTTGTTGGTCTCAGGGAATATAAAACAGTTAGGAATGGAGACTTTGAAAACTTGATTAAGTGAAGTAGTCTAGAAGCAAATATGTTTAATGAGCAACTAATGTGCATGGAGAGTCTCACAAGTTTGGTGAAATCACCTTAGGCCTATATCTTTTCAGTCTAATATGGCTATTTACTTACTTTTGTAGCTCTAAATCAGAAGCACGCTTTTTGTAAGTAGTTAACTGTCCTCTCCAAGTTTAGCTGGAATTTAGACAGAAAGGATTTGACAAATGTGATTGGTTGACGATATGACATTGGCCTACGTCTCGTCTTGCACTGCACAGAATATCAGATCTCAACAATGATTGTAAACATGTTTAACATCACCAGTACCACATCCTTATGATATATATCTTGTCAAAAGCGCAACGTGACTGCAAAAGAGACAGGTTGGAATGTCTGACTGAAATACAGGACAAATCAACCTTTTTTTGCAAATTAGTGGTGTTTGAATTTGATTATATAACAAACTGCATAATTTATAGCTGATTTTAGATAACTCATGTTGGTAACCCCTTCTCTCCTCATTAGCCAAGTATGACTTCAACAAACATGGAGGCTCTTCAGTTAAAGATTAATCATGTAACTCATTACAGATTTAGTGCAGGATATTTTTGTCACCATGGTCTGTACCCTAATAGAGCCTTTTGGCTATATAGTTTGTCTTAATAATTTCCATACACTGGGATAATACACTGAACAAAAATATAAACGCAACATGCTACAATTTCAAAGATTTTCCTTGAGTTACAGTTCATACATGGAAATCAGTCAATTGAAATCAATTCAATAGGCCCTAGTCTATGGATTTCACATGAAAAAAGGTAGGGGCGTGGATCAGAAGACCAGTCAGTATCTGGTGTGACCACCATTAACATCGTGCAGTGCAACACACCTCCTTCGTATAGAGTTGATCAGGTTGTTGATTGTAGCCTGTGGAATGTTGTCCCACTCCTCTTCAATGGCTGTGCGAAGTTGCTGGATATTGGCGGGAACTGGAACAAGCTGTCGTACATGTTGATCCAGAGTATCCCAAACATGCTCAATAGTTGACATGTCTGGTGAATATGCAGGCCATGGAAGAACTGGGACATTTTCAGCTTCCAGGAGTTGTGTACAAATCCTTGCGACGTGGCTGTGCATTATCACGCTGAAACATGAGGTGATTGCGGCAGATTAATGGCACAATAATGGGCCTCAGGATCTCGTCACGGTATCTCTGTGCATTAAAATTGACATCGATAAAATGTTATTGTGTTTGTGTCCATAGCTTATGCCTGCCCGTACCATAACTCCACCGCCACCATGGGGAACTCTGTTCACAACGTTGACATCAGCAAACCGCTCGCCCACATACACATGGTGGTTGTGAGGCCGGTTGTATGTACGGCCAAATTCTCTAAAACGAAGTTGGAGGCGGCTTATGGTAGAGAAATTAACATTCAATTCTCTGGCAACAGCTCTGGTGGACATTGCTGCAGTCAGCATGCCAATTACACGCTACCTCAAAACTTAAGACATCTGTGGCATTGTGATGTGTGATAAAACTGCACATTTTAGTGTGGCCTTTTATTGTCCCCAGCACAAGGTGCACCTGTGTAATTATCATGCTGTTTAAACAAATGTAAAAAAAAATTGTGCACAAAATTTGAGAGAAATAAGCTTTTTGTGATATGGAAAATGTCTGGGATATTTTATTTCAGCTCATGAAACATGGGACCATCACTTTACATGTTGCCTTTATATTTTTGTTCACTGCATTTCAATGAGTGAAATTCCAATTGTTATTTTATTCTTTTTGGCAGCTTTCCAGAATCTGTCATTGAATGTCACATTGAAGACTCAGAGTATTTTGTCCTAATGACACATCCTTAGTTTTGTTGTTTGAATGGAACTTAATATGCCTCTGGTCCATCATCATCATCCTCATCATCATCATTTGAACATCAGTTGAACAAAGCAGAAGACATTATTACAGAGTAGGATGCTCAACAAAACACACCTCAAACGTTGAATCATACCCCACAGAGCACACCCCAGGTCAGCCTCATTTGGGTCAGAGAGCTCAGAGGAGTGTCAGATACACATTGACCGCACCACCTTCAGGTGCCAACAGGCTCATTGAACCATAGACCACGAAGGCTCTCTGCCTAGTCACGTGCTGAGAACATCATCTTCAGCATCAATACCACAAAACCTTGAAGTGGTCCCGGATTGGCACCTTTTCTATTGTATACGTTGTCCCAAATTCTAATTACACCTAATTACATAAATATAGTGTACAGTGATACTGGATATATGTACATTATGGACGATCACATACATATGTTTTTGTACGCTTTGTGTGGGAAGTAAGGATTTCATAACTCTATAGGGAGCCATTTTGAACATCAATGTGGTTTTATCCTGCACAGACTGGTTGTGACTTGGAACTTGATTAATTGAGGCAGTCACAGTTTGGAATGACAGGTCAATGGGATCTCCCCTAGGCCTACATCCTTTTAAACCACTACTACACCACCACTAAACACAGAACAGCAAACGACAACCTCAATGCTTAAGGTTGGGATTGGGTGAAAGTGAAAGCTGATCCCACAGCAGTACTTAGGGGGAAACAATTATCTGGAGTGTTCCTCTTGTCTTGCAGATGAAGCTGTGCATATACATTCCATTACTAAGACTGTAATTTGGTCAGTCCTCTGCACACGGATCGATAGTGAAGAAAGCATGCTTAGTCTGTTTATGGGAGTCAATGGAGTGTAAAATCAGAGCTTCCATGCTCAGGATGTAACGCATCCTTAAACGGACATTGATATGGAGGTTTTTCTGAGAGGTGTTGGGTAGAAGACAAGTGTGTTGTGGGGGTTAAATACGAACAAGTTGAAAGAGAATGTGTATCCCTTCAAAACAATGAGATGTGGTTCACATAACGTCTTGCACCCAGCAGATGGTTTACATGATCCACTTTGTTAGGGCAGAACCTCTGTATGTAGCCTGTCAGGCCCTTCCTCTTCCCCGTTCTGACCTCTGACCCTGCTTCTTCAAGCTATTCCATCAGCATCTTAATTAATCAGACAAGTCATTGCTCATGCCACCGCTTTAGGCCGAAGATTCAACCTCATTCAATATTTTCCTGTCCGGGTCATTCTCCACTGTCACCTTTTCTCCTCAAGCAGACCAGTGAATATTTATACTCTCCTCCATGTTGTCATATCTGTGCTGACTATGAAAAGGACAATGGCTGTATTAGATTAATGCAACATATCAATGCATGTCTATATAATTTCAAACCTTCTATTTTTACTTCCAGAATAGTTGCTTTCTCTATTACTAAGAAGGGAGACAAAATATCAAGCTGTTTTGACAGCAATATGCTGCAATATCAACATCAGTTAAATCACAGAAACATTGGGTATTCATATACAGGCTGACACTACATATTCCAACAAAAATGATGTGCTAAATGACATCTCATTCACCTCTCTCTGGGAACCGAGACTCCATATCGTAGCCAGTTGTTTCGCATCAATGGTTTGACCTTTTCATGAGTCTACCACTGGTCAGTCACTGAAATTCAGACCTTCTGATTGGAATGCAAGAACCAATGTAAACTCCTGCTTAAGACCAACTGATAGTTTCCAGCTCTCTGGAGTTAGTAAAACATATTTTAATAACACTGAATATATTCTAATGGGGTGTTGGCTAATTGAGCTTTATCTGCTTCAATAGTGAACAAGCCAAGCATGCAGCCCAAATGTCTCAATGCCAGAGCAAAGGTGTCAACCCATAATTATGAATTAGCTCTAATACCAGCTGACGTCATGTGACAGGATCATGATGCTTGTGTCCAGAAAATCCCTACATTTCTAACAAAAGCCCAGCCACTAGCTTGGAAAATAATTATTTAAATAAAATGTTGTCAAGATGACGCTCCACCACAGCACAGCCTAGGGAAGCCCCATCTGCATTCTAATGTCAAAGACAGCGGAACAAAGTCTGCTATGCAAACCAACTGAACGTTGAAGGGAAGACTGACAAAAACATAATAAATCTTTGACCTTTTCAAAGCCTTCAGAGTAGGCTAGAGCTAGATCTTAAGCCTGAGTCAAACTTTAGCTTAAATAATATAGAGAACATTAACTATGGAAAAAACAACATCCATTTTAAATAGCGGAAACAGAATCCTCACCTTGAAGAGCCGCAGGATGTTGGCAACCATGATGGACACCGAGCTAGCCGCCGCCCCTATGACCCCCACCACCTTGTCCGGCTTGGCGAAGATGGGCGGGTCTCCGTTGGCGCAGCGCACGTCCGAGCCGTCCCTCTCGATGAGTGCCTGGACGAAGGTCAGCGACTGCTCCAGGGCATAGGTGTCTCTAGAACAGGTGTCCAGGATGCGCGCCCCCAGGGTCACATTGGGGAGCAGCTCTGGGTCCTTGTTGATCAGGTCAATCGCAAACAGCATGGCCTCCAGCCTATGAATGCCCTTCTCCTTCTTCAGCTCCCCGCAGGGTACACCTCTCTCGCCACGGGAGTGCACAGGGAATAGGCCGCCCAGCATGATGTCACCGTCAAGCCGGATGGAGTGGGCGTACTCCTGCAGAGGCAGCTGGGGGTCCGGGGGCTTCTGAGTGGCAGAGGCCAACAGCCAGTAACATTTGGTGGTCAGTATGAAGAGGAAGCAGTGAAGTGAGAGGGAGGGGTGTTTGGACTCCCTGGCCATGGTGGTAGCAGTACGGGAAAGAGTGGGTCAGGGGAGTGTTGGTGTAGTTCTGGGAGCTCAGAGCAGCAGGCAGCTGGTGGGGGTGGTGGGGACACAGGGTGGGGCGTATCGTGTGTGACCCTCCTAGATCAGGGCAAGGTTAGGGACGGTTACCTCTGGTTTCAAAGAGTTGCTGATGCATGTACCTGGCATCCCTGGGAAAAGGGTGTAGTTTGAGCAAGATAAGGAGGCTGGAGAGAAGAGAGGCTGAGTTTCTCACACTGGCTGGACAGTGGGGATCTCTCTCCACAATCCTGGGTGTCTCATGCTCAAAAGACCCTGTTTGTGATGTGTGAGACAAAGGGGGAAAACAATCCATCTGTTACACACTGTAGGGTTCAGCTCTCTATTAGACACATCACATATGAATATATGTAGGTCACACGCCCACACACACAAATTCACATATACTATTTCTCGCTTCTCTCTCTTTCTCAAACACATACGTGCACACACTAAAACCATCCAACTAAAATCTGGACCTTGCTTTTTTCATTGTTCCCCTTTAATCAGGAATTGATTTAGACCTGGGACACCAGGTTGATGCAATTAATTATCAGGTAGAACAGAAAACCAGAAGTATTCAGGACCTCCAGGTAAGGATTTTAGTACCCCTGCACTGAAGCATGCATCCATGCACACACACACACACACACACACACACACACACACACACACACACACACACACACACACACACACACACACACACACACACACACAGTGAGAGAGTATAAGGATAGACACAACAAACATCCACATCACACAGCAGGGAATCTCCCTTTGAAAACTGGGAAATCTTCAAACGTAGGCACTGTCACATCTGCATAAACTCTGTCTACAAAGCTGAGAATGTGCTTGATAAAAACATCAAATAATTGCATTATCATGTAATAAGCTATTGCATTTGCAATGAGACTAATCCTTACACTGATGTGAATTTAAATTACTGTGATATGTTTATTTACATAATGCATAGTTATACAGCAAGCTACATCAAAATGGACACAGCAGCATACCCTACAGCCTTACAGATATGTTGTCGCGCAATAAATAGCATTGATTACAATGACAGAACCTGTGTGTGTGTGTATGTTTATGTTAACATGCGCTGGTTGCCTGCAGGCAAAATGAAAACATGCAGGTATTTTCTTCCTGTCTGCAGCTTATTCAGTTGCATTAGCTCTGCTAGTTTACTGTTAGCATTCATTTTCCATCTGAGAGGAAATACAGGACTTAGCTCCCGTTGTTCCGGAATGGAGAGAGTGGCTTACTGGCTTTTCTTTCATTGTTGCCCAGAGAGACATAAAAACTCATTATCCACACTTATTCATGACTAGGACTACTTTTTTTGTACAAATGATATGCGTTCTCTTCAGAGTGCCCCTCGTGATTAGTACATAATTTTTTTGGTTTTGAGCCTGATCAATCAAGCCCTTACAAAAAAAAAAAGATTGCAGTTTTGAAACGGCAGTAAAAGTGCAGTAACTGCAGTCGACTGTGGTATTTTGGACGCAGTAATTGTAGAATAACTGCAGTGTACTGCAGTTGAACTGCAGTTATACCGCACTGTAACTGCAGTTACACTGCAAAATTACTGCAGTAAAAAAAAAAATACGGTGTTATTTTGGACGCAGTATTTGCAGCATACTACAGTTACTCTAACTGCAATCTTTTTTCATAAGGGAGGCTCCATGGACATTACAATTGTGTAGCATTACAACAGTTTATCAGCTCTGGCCTTTACACTGCTCGTTTCAGTTCTTATCTTTTAACCAGATACCGATTGCAGCCAGTCACTCTCATCCAAAAGTGTAGCATGCCAGTGAGAAACAAAAACTAGCTGGAGTTTGGATCTGAAGACTGGCATTGTGCACCCCTACATTGGTCGATCTATAACTGTTTGAAAGACAAACAATCGATCTATAACTGTTTGAAAGACGCTCTGCACAAATGAAGCATGGCAATAACAACCGCGTGTAGCACAGGCCTAAGCATGCGCTCACCTGTGCTGTATAGTTCCCTGGTGAATGAAGCTATTGTTCTATGCTAATACCCTACTAATTAATGACTGAGTATTGAGAAAATTAGGCCTACTTGATTTATATTTTATTAAAGACATGGTAGGCTAATGCCTACAGGCCTATGAGTAGGCTACTGTAAAGCCATGCGGCATCAACTCATAACCCAGAGAGTCCATAACGTTTACTTCAACCCAACAATTGGGACCCAATCATTGTTATGTATGGTACGACGTATTGTAGGTCGTACTGTACGTCGTTATGGTTTACGACAGTGTGCTGCTTTACGTATAAATGGGTGGTCAGAATTAGTGGCACATGTCATTAAACATCAGAGTGATGTACAATGTGAAATTGCGCAGACGTGTGTTCTTCTACAGCTAAGCTAGATATAGCATTGGTGACGAGGATGGCTGAATTCAGTTTACCCCCACCAGTACCATTCCTTTCCGTGCCTGGCAAACCTCCAGTCCCATGGAATAACTGGCTCAAAAGTTTAAACACTTCTCGAAGCTCTGGACTTTTCTACAATCGCCGACAAGTGGAGGACAGCACTGCGCCGTCACTGCCTCGGTACAGAGGATTTTCAGAGCTCTTGGATGGGCTCCTACATTCAACCTCCTACGGAACGACTTTGCCGGGAAACAGCGAGTGCTCCTCTGACGCTACCGGCTACGGAAAAGACACCAACAGCCCGGTGAGTCAATTCAAAGCTACGTGGCTAATCTGAGTGACTTGGCTAGCTTTTGTAACAATGGGGGACTTCAGGATGAGATCATCAGGGATCAGCTGGTAGAGGGGACGTTATGTGAAAAGACAAGGGAGAAACTACTTTTGGAATCTGACAATTTACAACTTGATGGAGCAATTAAATCAGGACCCCAGGTTGAAGTGGCTTTGGAATGATCTACTATGCTAACAGACAGCTCTGCAGCAGACACTCGGTCCCCAGCCATTCTCACACAGCAACATCAGCCCGTGCAGGCGCACTACAGTGATAGCGTGTTGCACACGCCCTCCCACGTCGATAGCGGCATGGAAACAGACACCGGCATTCCCGTGCAGCAGGCACACAGACAAACAAACCGACGTAGCTACGGCAACTGTGGGGCTTGCTCTCACGATTCAAGGGCTTCAAACTGCCCAGCCCATGGAAAGATATGCAAGAACTGTTCAAAATACAATCACTTTGCAGAAGTGTGTCGTTCTGCCCCTGCTACTTGCTCGGCCCTCATTCTCCTCTGACTCTCAACATGAACGCACTGAAATCCAAACTGTCTCCCTCAACCATGTGTCATTCAAAACATGCAGCTGGGTGAGGTGGGTTTGCCTTTGCTGCGGTGTCGTTGCTCAACCTTGCCACAAAAAGTTGTTCACTCACCAACCACCCCAACAGCCCTCCACTGCCCTATGTGGGTACGATAACTCCAAGATAGACTTTGTAGGCACTCTCCAGGTCCCAGTGCACTACAGCACCAAGCACCTACCGTCATTCACATTTCACATTGCAAAACGGGGTGCCAAACTCCTGAGCCTCGACCTCTTCACAGGCTTGGGGTTCACACAGAGATGACAGTGGGTCGGCTATCCACCAGGATACCTGCACATTGCAACAGAACTGGCCAGCTCTGTTTGATGGATTGGGCTGCCAAACAGCCTTTACTCAATGGCCCCTAGTGACCCCAGTCATGCAGTCCCTGTGGCGCATCCTCTTTGCTCTGCGTGATGACGTCACAAAAGATCTCCATTCGCAGTTGGAGGCAGACGTCATTGAGCCAGTCAACGCTGCCCCCTGGATTTAAAACTTGGTCATTGCAACCAAAAAGTCAGGTGGAATCCAGAATCCCCGTGCTGTGAATAAGGCTGTCGTCCCGGATAAGTACCCCTTGCCTACCGCTGAGGAGCTGACTGAACAATTTCACGGCTACAGGGTCTTCATGAAGCTCGACATTATCAGGGTTATATTCAGGTGCCCCTCCGCACAGCCAGCAGAGACCTCACGGCCTTCGTCACACACGCTGGCGTGTTCAGATACACACGCATCCCTTTTGGACTTAGCTCCGCCCCCAGCTGCTTCCAGAAGGAGATGAGCACCATCCTCTATCTAGACGACACCGTGATCCACGGCCAAGTCCTCCACATCCATGACCAGCGACTCCACAGAGTATTCAGTGCTCTACTGCAGAACAACCTGATCCTGAGCGGCGAAAAGTGCACCTTTGCAGCTCCAGTCGTCGAGCTTGTGGGTTTCCGCCCTGTCGGCCAAAGGCACTGCCCCACTCATGTTAAACATCGAAGTCATCCACCGCAACCCGGAACCTACCTCAGCCTCTCAGGTGGCATCATTCTTGGGCATGACAGCCTACTACCTCCGGTTTCTTCTCCACTACTTTCAAACCACAGCGCCCCTTTTCCAGCTCCTCAAGAAGGACGAGCCATGGGCCTGTACTGCAGCCTGCTCAGAGGCGGTCCGCTCACTGAAGGGCCAGCTCACCACAGCCCCAGTCACTTTGACCCCGCCTGCCCCACCATCGTCACCAGTGACGCCTCAGCTGGAGTGCTGGAAGCTGTCCTCTCACAGCTGCAGAATGGCATTGAGAGGCCCGTCGCATTTGCCTCGAGGGCCCTGAGCCCCACCAAGCAACAGTACTCTGTGGACGAATGAAAAGCACTGGCCTGTGTCTGGGCGTGCGAAAGGTTGCACCTCTACCTGTACGGCTGACTGTTCATGCTCTGACCTGACCACCAATCCCTCACAATGCTGCTGTCAGCCTCAGGAACTGGCAATGGGCTCCAGCTAACCTCTGCCGAGTTCTCCTCCTACCTCAGCAACAAGGGAATCAAACATATCCGCACGGCCTACTACAAACCACAAGCTAACGGAGGGGTGGAACGCTTCAACCAAACGCTGAAGAATGGCATCAGAGAACACCTGGTCCAGGGTTGCACGTTCCAAACCACCCTGAACCAAACACTAGTGGACTACAGAGCATGAAAACACACGACAACACAGGTCTCACCGGCATCTCTCATGCTCGGTCGTGAGATGGAAGTGCCACTGGACAGACTCAGAATACAGAGCGTGGCAGCACCGGCGACTAGGCGCACCCAAGCAAAGCAGGCAGCCACCAGGCACCAAAGAGCAATGAAACGGCACTTTGACAATGCACACAGGGTGAAGAAGCCGATCATCCAAGTGTCAGACTGGGTCCAAGCCAATCGGTCTCAGCGGTGCAACAAAATGGTTTCATTCTGGACAGACCCCTTGCAGGTCAGTCGACAACTGGGGCCCGCCACCTTCATGCTGAGCAGTGGATCACGCTGGCACGCCAGCCGCTTCAGGAACGTCTCTGCCCCTCATGGAATACAAATTCCCACACCTCTCGCACAGGCCAGTATAACACGGACATACAGGCCAGAGACACCACCTGATGAACCTCCTCCTGCACTACCACCCGAGCCTCAGCGTCTGTGGGCTCCCAAGGGCTAGAGCCACAAGCAGTGGTGGCTGAAGATCAGCCTATGCAGCCACGGACTCGCCCTGCTCATCTGGAGGACTACCTTACTTCCTTTCATTCTTAGGCTCCGTTAGGTGTCTTAGCCAACCTTCAGGTTAATTGACTGAACTGTCTAGTTTGGGAGAGTCTTTGTTACCTCTTCCATTTAAGGGTTAATGTTTTTTTGTTAGGTATCACTCTGGGTTATTGCCCTATGGACATTTTTATATATGGTACCAGTCCCTGGTTTTGGAAAGGAGGGGGAAATGTTATGTATGGTACAACGTGTGCTGTATGTCATACTGTACGTTGTTATGGTTTAAGACAGTGTGCTTCTTTACATATGAATGGGTAGTCAGAATGAGTGGCACATGCTATTAATCGTCAGAGTGATGTACAATGTGAAACCGTACAGACATGCCTTCTTCGACAGCTAAGCTAGATACAACACTCATCAACTACAATATCTTAGCGCAAAGCATATACTATGCCTTGAATTACATAAAGCAACAGCTTTGCAACCATCAGTCAAAAGGTTAAAACGCTTTAACTTGATGATTTGACCCACAGGTGAGGAGTAAGTAGCCTAGTTCATTTGTGACCTATATTACAGTGCTTTACAGTTCCACAAAGCAAATCTCATGCACAATCATAATAATGTTTTGCTCTAACTGCAGTAATCTAAATGTAAATAATTGTATCAGCCAAGATTTGATTGCACACTGCATGATTTAGACTACACACCAATAACCCACCAATTTTGATTTGTGATAAAGGTGCAATATGCCCAATTAGCATGATTGAAAGGTGAGAAGGTCTCTCTGGGATTTTTTTATGAGATAGGCTACTTATTCCGTGGTCCATTTTAAGTTTACTGCTTTCTCCCTTTCAATCGATTTGAACTCGGTTGATGATGACAGATGAAACATGCATAACGGCGGCAGGTAGCTTAGTGGGTAAGAGCGTTGTGCCAGTAACCGAAAGGTCGCTGGTTCTAATCCCCGAGCCGACTAGGTGAAAGATCTGTCGATGTGCCCTTAAGCAAGGCACTTAACCCTAATTGCTCCTGTAAGTCGCTCTGGATAAGAGCATCTGCTAAATAACAAAAAAAATAACGCACCGAAAATTCCTATGCCTGTCTAAATTAAAATGTTCTTCAATGGACCACTTTCTTGACGATTATTTTTTTTATATCTACCAGGAACCCATGTCAAAAGTAACTCTTTAATTATTTTATTTACAGATCAAATGTGACTTTGGGTGAATTATTGGAAACGTGAGCGCATCGGAAAACGAATATTCTCAATATCAAGTCTGTAGGCTATTGCTAAAGAAAACGGAAAAAAATCGAAAAACATTAAATAAGGAACATGACTCATATCACATAGTTTGAAAAAATGCAACAATTAAGTAGGACTTACCCGCCGGTTACTGTGATCGGGTCCCTCGTGGACTCACTGCCAAACCAACGCTGCGCAAGCCTGTGCTGTGCTCGTGGTGCTGAAAGAACAGCAGCATCGTGAAGGTGGCTGGAGCGCGTCTACGGGAACATCTCAATTGTTTTCTAAATCGCGTCCCCTCTCCCCTCTCCTCGTCTCCTTCTCAAAACCCATTGGAGGAGAAGGTCAGAGAGGCAAGATCTCTGGCGTTCTCATCCAATGGGTTTTGAGAAGGAGACGAGGAGCGAGGACAGGAGGGAGGACGTGAGGGAATGATTGAGATCTTCCCTCCTTCTCTGTCGAATCACCCAATATTCCCACACAGCGGTGGTTTGCTTCCGAACTCTAGGTTACCTAATGATTCTCTGATGTTTGTTAGTTGTTTCTGTAAATATTCGGCAGTTTATTTTAATTGGCTGTTTCAAATCACCATAATCATACCCATGATCACTGGAAGATGTGTGCAGGGACTATTTAGAATGAATTTGAATAATTCACGCTCAGAGTGTGTTTGCTTGGTCCAAAAACAAGTGCATGGTCGCATGTTCCTTGCCTCAACACATGCATAGGCTATCTTATTTGGTGTGTCACATTTTCAAAGTGGCATTTAAAGGAAGCGATGCTGTGGGTGCGTCATGGCTAATGATGACAGCCTACAGAAGATAAAGTAGTCTTATATGGCGTCGTTTTCAAAGGGCATAACTTTCAAAGACTATATATAGGCTAGGATAATATAAGTTATCTCTAAAAGATGCGTGAGAATTATAGCCTACATGAGAGGTGATTCAGATCATTCAACATTAGTTCGGAAATACTAAGAGAAAAACAAAAACATATTTATTGCACACACTCTTACAGACAATGGAAGTGTATTTTCAAAAGTAGGATAAGATGCCTAAGGCTCTACATCAAACAATATTCCCAGTGGGAAAATGTGCACAGCGGATGTTGAAACGGGAGTTTTCGTTGACGACACCGTTGGGAAATGCAGTCACATTGCGCCATCTTGTGGGCGCAAAATAGCCTAGTCGAATGTAGCAGAACTTGTCTTGGGAAAAGAGCAACGCAAACCCAACACCTGAAGTAGAAAAATAAATATGGACATATCCAATAATAGCAATCGATTATTGTATGGTTATACAGTAGGCCTATGTCTCTAGTTATTATATAAGTAATACAATGTATTGCACTGAGAGTGACTACTGCTGGCCTGCGCAGATGCCTTGAGGAAACAAAGGCCTACATGCAGACAGGCAGACAATAATTATTGCTTTTCGTCTGGACCGTCAATTTTACAATAAATAATTAATCACTTGCTTTTGTATTTGCTGTGCATTATAGGCTTTATACATTGATTAAAGTAAAATTAGAATTAGGCCTGTCTGTGACTATTTCTTTTAAAATGAAATAGTGTCATGCATAGTTGGGAGGAGGCTTAAGTTTCATGAATATTTTAACAACTCGATAAATTAATTATTATTTATTCGCATTCTAACTGTCACTTTGTTTTAACAGACAGGCTTATGATAAGACTGTTTGATCATATTCTATTCTAATATCAATGCACTTATTCCTATTCCCAAAAATGCTAAATTGTGTGTTTTGCTCTTTCACTGTGGCCCACAGTAATGAAAGACAGAGAGGCTGGGACACCAAAGACTAGTTCTGAGAACAATCTGACAGACCTTCTGGGTGTCCGGTGTGCCAGTTGTAATGTCCCACTGCCAAGGCCACCAAGGAGAAGGAATAGCTGATCCCACTTCCACAACATGGATATGACTGGAGAGGGCTGAAACAGGAATCCCTCCAATGGTCACTCCACCCATCAGACTCCCACTGCTCACTGTGACTTCTCTGACTGTCCAAAGGATCAAAAACATCCCCAAGGTGCCTCGCTTGCTTGGTCTCCAGCTGAAGGGCAGCAAGTGTCCGGCATGTAGTGGTCAAAACCTGGTACTTTCACACTACTTAATGGTAAATAATGCAAGCGACTTCAATGACAAATTTCTCTGAACAAGGGGGGAAAAAAACATCACCAGATTCACAGGGAATACATTACATAGTATGGAGAAGCAATACGCCAAGCCACAGCTTCATGTTATTTGTCAAACATAGAGAACTGACACTGTATACTGGTTGTTGGGGTGGGACTGGCATTGGGTGTGGGGGGGGTCCGTTGGTGTTTTTTTCCCATTTGATTTATTCCTCATGTCTTCCTCATTGGTAGGAAGAAGTTTGGTCCAAATCGGATGTTGGGTACTATATTTATTGAATATTATCTGAATCCTATAAATTAAAATGGCCAATTTGGGTGCAATCAATTAGCTTCAAATTACATTTCAACAAAATAATGTTTCAGGAATTCTAATAATATCTGTTACTAACTACAGAAAGGATTTCAGAACAATCTGAGATGGTGGGTGTCAATCCTATTTCTTCTGCTTTGTGAGGTGGAACGACCCTTTTGCAATCTAGACTAATCATAAAACACACTGATGGCAGAGAGCTGCGGATTCTTAACTGGACCTATTCAATCTTATAGACTCCAAGGATAGGAGGGAGCAGACTAGGTCTTTCCCTGAGCTGCCAGCCATTGCAGTGTCAGCCTCACCTGCCCTGCCGGCCATCCCAGTGCCTACCCCAACTGTCATCTCAGTGCCTGTCCGTCTGGTGTCTGCCCCACCTGCCTCCCCAGTGCCAGCCCGGACTGCCAACGTCAGACCACAGAGGCGTGTGTCGGAGAGAATCCAGCGCTTACAGATCCGGTCTGCTATACTACCAGAGCTACTGGACGACAGATGGTCATATTACCCTCTGAGCCCCAGTCCTTCAGAAGCGCTGAGAGAGTGTTCCTATGTGGCCCACCTTCAGTTTGCCACCCAGCTAACGTAGGCAGAAATGACAGCTGTCACCCCCTGCCCATACCTACGTCCAGCTTTACAGGTAGCACAGACCACTCCGCTGTACTGACCAGTGGGAGAGCTGTGCAGGTGGGTGAGAGGTGCCCCTTTCACACCCTCCTGACCCCCTTGGACCCACTATCTGAGTGAGAATGAGAGAATAACTGACGAGGGCGCAGGAAGAAGAAGAATCCCATTAACTTGGTTTTCTTTGAGTCTGGGACTTTCTTCCCACTGTGTGTGTCTCTCCCTCTCTGCCCTCCATCGTGGAAGTGGATGAGGAGGATGAAGATATACTGCACTACTGGAAGTCCTTGGAGACCACAGTCAAGATAGACTTCAGCCATGACAATATCATCCTGGGCAAGCCATTCTCCCGCTTTGTGTTGAAGACACACGCCCCTATCCACGTTCACAGAATTATGCCTCCCCACCCCTCTACGAGAGAAAGCACACCTAACGCCCCCTTCTTCACCCCTCCCACTACCCCATGGTTCTTCACCCCTCCCATTACCCCCTGGTTCTTCACCCCTCCCACTACCCCCTGGTTCTTCACCCCTCCCTCTACACCCCTGGTTTCCTGTGGGGGTTCTCTTCCTGGAGAGGTAAGGTGAAGCCAGCTGTAGGGGTCACACACACATACACACACACACACACACACACACACACACACACACACACACACACACACACACAAATTGATACATCTGTAACCACCAGAAGGACCATTATACTTGATTCCAGCTTCCAGGACTTCGAGGAACTCATAATGGACCAAAGAGGGCCAACCAGCGAGGCATCACCCTAGGGTCTACAGCCTGTCTACAGCCTGTTTACAGCCTGTCAACCCCAAACCGAACCACAGAGGCAGGTGACAGAAATGATCCAGCTCTCACCGATCCAGGCCACTGCGCAGGAACAGAAGCTACTGTTGGAACAGACTGTTACCCTGATGAAGACAGCTTGGCTGTCAAAACATTGGTGAGAAATACAGTACCAGTCAAAAGTTTGGACACACCTACTCATTCCAGGGTTTTTCTTTATTTTTACTATATTCTACATTGTAGAATAATAGTGAAGACATCAAAACTATGAAATAACACATATGGAATCATGTAGTAACCAAAAAAGTGTTAAACAAATCAAAATATATTTTAGGTTTGAGAGTAGCCACCCTTTCCCTTGATGACAACTTTGCACACTCTTGGCATTCTCTCAACCAGCTTCACCTGGAATGCTTTTACAACAGTCTTGAAGAGTTCCCACATATGCTGAGCACTTGTTGGCTGCTGTTCCTTCACTCTGCGGTCCAACTCATCCCAAACCATCTCAATTGGGTTGAGGTGGGGTGATTGTGGAGGCCAGGTCATCGGATGCAGCACTCCATCACTCTCCTTCTTGGTCAAATAGCCCTTACACAGCCTGGAGGTGTGTTGGGTCATTGTCCTGTTGAAAAACAAATGATAGTCCCACTATGCGCAAACCAGATGGGATGGCTTATCGCTGCAGAATGCTGTGGTAACCATACTGGTTAAGTGTGCCTTGAATTCTAAATAAATCACAGACAGTGTCACCAGAAAAGCACCCCAACACCATCACACCTCCTCCTCCATGCTTCACGGTGGGAACCACACATACGGAGATAATCCATTCACCTACTCTGCGTCTCACAAAGACACGGCCGAGGGAACCAAAAATCTAAAATTTGGACTCATCAGACCAAAGGACAGATTTTCACTGGTCTAATGTCCATTGCTCATGTTTCTTGGTCCAAGCAAGTCTCTTCTTATTATTGGTGTCCTTTAGTAGTGGTTTCTTTGCAGCAATTCAACCATGAAGGCCTGATTCACGCAGTCTCCTCTGAAGTTGATGTTGAGATGTGTCTGTGTGATGAGGTGATTTAGAAGGAGTCAGGCGCATGAGGGTAAATCACAGAATAACAGGATTTATTCTGAAACGCAGAGTTACGCAGTAATGCGTCAAAACACTCCAGTGCGCAAAACAGGTGCACTGGAAAATAGAAGGCATACTGGGATATATCCCGGTGATACAAAATACACTCTATCCTCCACAGTAAACAATCACACACAAAGACAAGGGGGCAGAGGGAACACTTATACTGGTACTGATGAGGGGATATGAACCAGGTGTGTGTAATAAACAAGACTAAACAAATGGAATGATGAGATGAGGAGTGGCAGTGGCTAGAAGGCCAGTGACGACAAACGCCGAAACCTGCCCGAACAAGGAGAGGTGGCAGCTTCGGAGGAAGTTGTGACAGTCTGTTACTTGAAGTCTGTGAAGCATTTATTTGGGCTGCAATTTATGAAGCTGGTAACTCTAGTGAACTTATCCTCTGCAGCAGAGGTAACTCTGGGTCTTCCATTCCTGTGGCGGTCCTCATGAGAGCCAGTTTAATCATAGCGCTTGATGATTTTTGCAACTGCACTTGAAGAAACTTTCAAAGTTCTTGAAATGTTCTGTATTGACTGACCTTCATGTATTAAATTAATGATGGACTGTCGTTTCTCTTTGCTTATTTGAGCTGTTCTTGCCATAATTTGGACTTGGTCTTTTACCAAATAGGGCCATCTTCTGTATACCAACCCTACCTTGTCACAATAAAACTGATTGGCTCAAACACAGTAAGAAGGAAAGAAATTCCACAAATTAACTTTTAACAAGGCACACCTGTTAATTGAAATGCATTCCAGGTGACTACCTCATGAAGCTGGTTGAGAGAATGCCAAGCGTGTGCAAAGCTGTCATCAAGGCAAAAGGTGGCTACTTTGAAGAATCTCAAATATAAAATATATTTTGATTTGTTTAACACTTTTTGGGTTACTACATGATTCCATGTGTGTTATTTCATAGTGTTGATGTCTTCACTATTATTCTACAATGAAGGAAAAACCCTGGAATGAGTAGGTGTGTCCAAACTTTTGACTGGTACTGTAAATGATTGCATCCGAGCTCCAAGAGCGTGTGGCTTTTCCTTTTCTTTTGGAAGTACTGTTGGAACTGTTCCTATAAGACCCAACAGGAGCCACAAGCTGACAAAGTATACTCTCATCCCTGGGGGATCAGGTATCTTCCTTTGCGGGTGTTCTCTTCCTGAAGATGGTCGGCTTCAACCCGTCGAGGTAGAACGCCAGTCTCCAGAGTATCCGGTATGCTGGTATGATGTTTACTCCCCACAGCCAGTGCCATTGAATTCTGTTGTCTATTAAATTAAATGGATTCAGTTTAAATGATCTGTGCGCTGTGGAAATTAACTTTTTTGATAGATTATGATTTTCTTCATTGTAGTTATTGATCAGTTCAGCTCCTATTTCCTACGCTGCTTCATTGACTGGTAGTGAAATGCAATGATCTTTCTTGGTCCTATGGAGTGATTTATAGAGGAGACCTTTATGCTGCTGTACATTCGATCTGATTGTGGTATAGACATACTGTAGAGAACTTACAAGCAATGCGTCCCACAAACTAAAAATGTTACAAAGATAACACTGATTGATCAGAGATTAGAGTTCTCCCTCACAGCCTCAGTGAATATCACCTCTGGTACTGTTAGACGGTATTAGATTGACTTTCACACACACACAGCAACAAAAAACTGCACATATAAAAACACACATTCATCATGTTTTCCTTGCAAGGTACTTATTTGATTAGAATACAGTGGGGGAAAAAAGTATTTAGTCAGCCACCAATTGTGCAAGTTCTCCCACTTAAAAAGATGAGAGAGGCCTGTAATTTTCATCATAGGTACACGTCAACTATGACAGACAAATTGAGAGAAAAAAATCCAGAAAATCACATTGTAGGATTTTTTATGAATTTATTTGTAAATTATGGTGGAAAATAAGTATTTGGTCACCTACAAACAAGCAAGATTTCTGGCTCTCACAGACCTGTAACTTCTTCTTTAAGAGGCTCCTCTGTCCTCCACTCGTTACCTGTATTAATGGCACCTGTTTGAACTTGTTATCAGTATAAAAGACACCTGTCCTCAACCTCAAACAGTCACACTCCAAACTCCACTATGGCCAAGACCAAAGAGCTGTCAAAGGACACCAGAAACAAAATTGTAGACCTGCACCAGACTGGGAAGACTGAATCTGCAATAGGTAAGCAGCTTGGTTTGAAGAAATCAACTGTGGGAGCAATTATTAGGAAATGGAAGACATACAAGACCATTGATAATCTCCCTCGATCTGGGGCTCCACGCAAGATCTCACCCCGTGGGGTCAAAATGATCACAAGAACGGTGAGCAAAAATCCCAGAACCACACGGAGGGACCTAGTGAATGACCTGCAGAGAGCTGGGACCAAAGTATCAAAGCCTACCATCAGTAACACACTACGCCGCCAGGGACTCAAATCCTGCAGTGGCAGACGTGTCCCCCTGCTTAAGCCAGTACATGTCCAGGCCCGTCTGAAGTTTGCTAGAGTGCATTTGGATGATCCAGAAGAGGATTGGGAGAATGTCATATGGTCAGATGAAACCAAAATAGAACTTTTTGGTAAAAACTCAACTCGTCGTGTTTGGAGGACAAAGAATGCTGAGTTGCATCCAAAGAACACCATACCTACTGTGAAGCATGGGGGTGGAAACATCATGCTTTGGGGCTGTTTTTCAGCAAAGGGACCAGGACGACTGATCCGTGTAAAGGAAAGAATGAATGGGGCCATGTATCTTGAGATTTTGAGTGAAAACCTCCTTCCATCAGCAAGGGCATTGAAGATGAAACGTGGCTGGGTCTTTCAGCATGACAATGATCCCAAACACACCGCCCGGGCAACGAAGGAGTGGCTTCGTAAGAAGCATTTCAAGGTCCTGGAGTGGCCTAGCCAGTCTCCAGATCTCAACCCCATAGAACATCTTTGGAGGGAGTTGAAAGTCTGTGTTGCCCAGCGACAGCCCCAAAACATCACTGCTCTAGAGGAGATCTGCATGGAAGAATGGGCCAAAATACCAGCAACAGTGTGTGAAAACCTTGTGAAGACTTACAGAAAACGTTTGACCTGTGTCATTGCCAACATAGGGTATATAACAAAGTATTGAGAAACTTTTGTTATTGACCAAATACTTATTTTCCACCATAATCCTACAATGTGATTTTCTGGATTTTTTTTTCTCATTTTGTCTGTCATAGTTGACGTGTACCTATGATGAAAATTACAGGCCTCTCTCATCTTTTTAAGTGGGAGAACTTGCACAATTGGTGGCTGACTAAATACTTTTTCCCCCACTGTAGCCTAATTTTATGACGTTGCTCCTGGATTGTAGCATAGACTATTTCCTTGGCAAAGTGGGCAAACTCAGTCATGAAATGCCAACAACAAACTGTGAGCCATCATATTCATGCATAAAATACCAAATAATTAAAGAAAAGCATTATAATTTTGAATTCTATGAAGATAGTTTGGGTGAGGTGGAAAATGTATTGTGGTCCTTCAATAATGAGACACCGCCTGGTATTGACAAGCTACTGAGGATGGTAGCGCACTATATTGCCACTCGTATTTATCATATCTTTAATCTGAGCCTGGAGAAAGTGTTTGTCCTCAGACCTGTAGGGAAGCTAAAGTCATTCAGCTA